AACTCCTGTCAACAGGAAAGGAAGAGTGCATAATTCACTGGATTAGATTTTATTCTGTTATCTTTTGGGTCATTTTCTTCTTTGCCAGCTTAAAAACAGAACAAATTACTAGAACATAAAATGGTATCCATATGAAGATGCAGGAAAATAGGCGATACTCATGTTCCACATCTAACCATTTGACAGCAGAGCTGTGGGTGTCCCTGTACAAGAGGATTCAGTCTTGTTAGTCAGGTTTCTACCACGCAGTTCATTTATGAGTCAGCCACATGTACATCGGCGTGCGATCTCTCAGCTCTGTTCACACGTACTACAGGGCTGGCTGTGGACGTTCTGGCATTCGCCTTTCCTCCTGCCCAGCCCCACCCAACAGAACTCGTCTGTTTATCCCAGCAAAATCCAAAACCTACTTCAGAAATATCTCAGCCTCCTAGCAGGCAAATGACAACCACACACCACCAGCATCTTCTTGAAAGAGAAAGGTGAGAAGGGCAAAATGCACCCTGCGCTGCAGGCAGCGCACGACCTTCCGGAGCAAGAGCCTTGTCAAGTCATTTTTTCCTTTCAGAGCTCCACTGCCAGGAATACCTCACAGTTCCCTTGCATCATTTGCAGGTGCTTGAGCTGCTCTGAAGGATGTGAAGTGGCCGGCACAAGGCAAGGCGTAAGAAACCAGGCCAGTTGTTCGTTTTTTTCCACACTTGCTCAGACTTGAAAAATGGCCTCCGGAAGGGTAGGGGCAGCCATCTGTCTAAATCTCTGCATTCTTTTCTGTAGTGAACTTGAAGGAGGTTTTCTCAACCCGTCTCCACCTGCTTGTTGCAGAGAAACATTTGTGATAAACTGACGGCTTGACGCTCCTAACAAATCCTCCCTCCCCACGCCCTGGTATAGCTGTCAGTACCTCCATCTTTTCCCTAGTTCTTTCCCCTCCAGATTGAGTGTGAATTTTCTATCTCTTTTCTCCATCTGCACTTCTATATTTGATCCTTTTGCCTAGCAGCTCTCCTCTCACCTCCTTCGTTGCTCCAGCTGAGCAGAGGGCAACCGGCTCCTCATGGTGCACCCTGCAGCCACCGGGAGCAGGGGCAGGGACTGATGTGACACGCTGGCACCAAAGTCTCCCCTCTGTACCATGAGCTGCTCTGAGAGCCTGCCATGATGGGGAGAAAAGCAGAGAGAAGGAAGGGATTCTGGGGAGAAACAGCAATACACGGTGGGGCTGTGCTGCAGTTTCTCCCCGTGCCATTCCACTGCTGTGACGCACTGCAAACACTTGCAGGCACCCAGCTGTGATGCTGACCTGCTGCCTGAAGCCAAAGCCTCCTCCACTCCCAACCTGTTGTTTTGCACTCTGGCACTCACAGTGTGCGCGTGCAGGACTGTCACCAGCAGTCCTGGCAATGCTCTGTGCTGGGAGACAAGCAAAAAGGGCTGCTGTGTAGGTTATGGGAGGAGGTGAGAAAGAGCCTGCCTCTGCCGCTGTCAGGGATAGGGCCTGGCTGAGCCAGCCCGTATGCTTTAACACCACCGCCCCCCAACATTCACCAGTTGTGCCAGTGAGCAATTTTGATTCATTCCATTGTAAAGGTTGAAAACATTTTAAAATGTAAATCCCAGCACAGGCGATAATCCTCGTCATAAAGGAATGGTTGGAGATGGGGCTTTACTTCAAGACTTACTTTGCTTTACTTTACTTCACTGAAAAAACAGTAGACAAAAACATAACAGTGTTCAGTTGAGAAACCCAACCTTAACTGTTAATTTTTTAAAAATTCCTTGACATAAGAGAATCTGGAGGGAAAGAAAACGCATGTGCAGAACTCCACCTGCGAGCAGATGCGCAGGCTGTGGCTCCTGCCTACCCACTGCAAAGCTACCACATTTCAAAGAACTGCTTCATTATGGGCCTAATGGACCCGCACTGCCTGTCTCCAAATCGTCCTTTGCCTCGGCCTATTTGAAACTGGAGTGATGCCCAGCTGCCCTCCCAGGATTGCACTGTCATCCTGTGTGCAGGCTTTGCAGCCCATTTCACCACTCACTCAGCAAAACAGCTGCAGGTTTGCTGTTCTGGATACTCCCTGCGTGCCCTGCATTTCGGGAAAATCTCCTCCAAAGAGAACACGAGTCTCCCATTAGCGGTAGGAGCGTCTGAACTTGAACAAGAGGAGAAAATGTCATACAATATTAATTGTCCAGTTTTGTTAATAGCACACACTGCGCCCACGTGAATAGCTGCATGATTTACGTCCTCACTGGTCCATCTGCTTTGCTTTCAAAAGGATTTGCACATGAAGAATGGTCTTTATCTTCAAGCCAACCACAGAAATTTGCTTCCTGAGGAGTATTTGGAGCACATGATGCATTTGGTGCATCAAAACATTGTTGTCCCCTTCCATTCCTTCTCCTCTGGAAACAATCATCCTTCCCCAGCTCTGGACTCCCTCAATCGCACATTTCACATGAGCTACTAAGCTGCTCTGCAGAAACCACCTTTGTACCTGTCTATCCAGTTGTATTAGGCACCTCCCATGCTTAGGACCATTAACCTGATCACAACAGCTTGATGAATTCATCATTATACAGACACAGTTGGCAGCTTCTAATTAAATAATTATGACTAAACAGCTGCAGAGAAGTTGTAATGTTCCACTAAAAAGCCAGATGTCAGTTTTATCGGTCCTCAAAGTTTAAAAAGATATGGCTCTGGAAGATTTGGAAAGGGACCTCTGCCACCACAGGTGAATGCTGGAGGCACTGCGCTGCCCTTCTGCAGCACTGCTGGTGAGTCCTGCAGCCCAGCAGCAGCTCTGTCAGAGCGAGCAGCAACCAGCATGAAGAGTAACAGAGACATCTGGGTCAAGATACAAAAGAATCACAGTCCTTGCTTTGCCTAGGGAAGGATCCTTCGAAAAACTCATCTTTGAAAAAGCATCAGTGTCAAAAATCCACAAAATTGGCATGAGCCAAATATGAAACTTATTGAACTGGATCAACCTTTCCAGGAATTTGTAGGGGAACTGCTGAGTCCCGGCCTGCACCACTGACTGAGCACCTGGAAAGGAGCCGGTCAGCCCTGGGAGCACAGGTGAAGGCAATTCAGCTGTGTGATAGGAAGGAGTGCAGCCTGGCTGCACCTCTCCTAGACCCCATTTAAGGGCTGACTGCCACAGGGGGTGGATCTCTTTCTGGAGATCTCTGTTTGGTGGAGTCTTTCCTGCAAGCCTAGATCTCCAGAGGCAGGTGAGCACCTTTACTTTTCTTTGAAACATCATCATATCTGCATTGGCCCCTTTGCTGTTGCATTCCCATATCACCCTTCTACCACTTTAAGCTTTCCCATTCTAACAGCACCTCTATTGCATTTGGAGTTCTCTGCGTTAGTGAGAGAAGATTTTGTGAAGCGTGTTGAAGTTTCACTGTCCAAAATTTGTGAGGTTCTTCTTATCTTCGTACCTTAACCATGATGATGTGGAAGCAATGAGCAATCCTTGAAGGTAAAAACGTGAGTAATATAGAAGTTATTAGTCCATGTTTCCTAACTGGTGTCAAACCTACTTTCATCCTCTCTTCAATTAGCAAAACACTGGGCCTATTAAAAACCTTTCTGATTTTATATTTAAGTAATTCATTCTAATTCATCTGTCTACACCAATTGTTCTCCTCTGTCTTGCACAGGGCTGATCTTCAAACATAGAATGGCCTGGGTTGAAAAGGACCACAATCCTCCATCCTTGTTAGCATCCTTTGGACCTTTTGATGAGGAATCCATCTAGAAAACTAATTTTAAGTAAACTATGCACGTCAAAAATACATACGGCTTTTCAGGATGCTAACTTAAGCATCATTACATAAGCAGATTAGGGCTGCCTGTTGAGCTGAGACACGAGTAGATGGCACTGAATCCAGTACTGCACACAAGCCATTCAATTCCTGATATATCATCTTTCACCTAAAACTTTCGTCAGCTCTCCATGTTACCAAGCCTGCCAAATGTAAGTGTTGCACACAGTGCAGCAGGTCTGCAGGCTGAGTAATTTTTATCCCTCTTTAAATCCTTTTGACCAAAGCTGCACCTAGCTAAAGCCCATTTGTACAAACGACCAGTGAAATGTTCCATTCTTCACTCTCCTGAGATGAAAATGGAGAAGAACATCCTCACAAACTTCTTGCACATTCATGCATAGCAGCTGAGGAATGATTTTCTGATATAGGAATATAGAATCAAAATCATCCTCATGTTTCCATGGGTAACGGTGCCTCTACCTGAATATCAACTTAGAAAGTTAATGAGCCTGCTAGAGCGATCAGCTAAAATTACCACAACAGTATGTGATCCGATGTGATTGCAGGAAGCAGGGCAGATACTTCTCATTATGAGGACTGTTTTTCATAGGCATGTTGCATAACAGGGCACAGCAACTCGCCTCTCTCTGCTCTGAGACCTCATCTCAGAGCACATCAGTTGGATCTGAGAAGGCTCCCTGTTGAAAAGCAGCCAGGGGGACAGGATTTTTTTTCCCTTCCCTGCGTGTAAGTGTGTCAGGCGCGTTGACAGATGGTTTGCTGGCTATGCTTGACTATTATCAAGCAGCTATTACCTTTGTAAATTAAACCCAATTTGAAGGTTTTCTGTAATTAAATCTGCAGCGTGTTTGCATGGCTTACATTGCATCCTGCTTGCACTCAGGAAGTGTGCAAGGCTGTCAGATGGCTGATTTACACAGCCAGAGACAGCAGCATCCTTCAGGCACAGGGATAGGGTGCTTTTGGCAGTCTGTGCTGCCACCTAGCCAAGAGCAAGCCACAGAGTTCAGCCTGGCCTTATAGTTTGAAAGCTTAAACTGAAGCATATCACCTCAGATCAAAATAAAGCTCCCATCTGCAGCAGATACAAAGAAATCTGCACTTCTCATGCTTTGCGAACTGCACAGTCAGCAGAAGAGACAGGCTTCAAGCAGGCAGTTACGTTTCCCTCAGCAATGTCTCATACTTACGGTAGAAGACATATTCAGTGTAGCTGGACCAGACCTTGTCATCAGTGTACTGATTGACAAAGGACGCCGTCACAGAGGAGTTGCAGGCCACCATGTGGAATCCACACTCAGATAACATGTCAAAAGCCCTCTCCAGATGCTTGAACTTGAGATAAAACCTGGAGGTGTACCTTTCTGGAGCTCTGTCTGGATCTCTGCTTTCATTCAAACTTTCTCCAAAGACCTCTTTGACCAAAGCGATCCTTCCACAAACCAAAATCCTTGGGACCCTCCTGAATTTGGCATCTGCTTGGCTCTCCCTGCCAATAGTGCATGACCCGCGGTACCCAATGGTAATGAATCCCCACTTCCGATCTGATGGCAAGAGAGATGGAGGGGGGCATATTCTCGTGTCACTGCCTTGGGAGACCTCTTCGTAGTCACTGTGGCAATAGTCATCGGGGCTTTGCTTGCTGTCATCAGGAGTCAGGAGTTTGACCAAGTCTGGGAGCTGGAAGTACTCGGCCTCCCTCTTGAGCCTTCCCTTTTCAGGGAAGTGGTCAGGCAGAACCACTTGCTTGTCCCTGAGATAGTCCAGAATATAGCGAAAAAGGAAACCATCTCTGTCAATGAAGAATCTTCCCTTGGAGTCCTTGGCCAGATCGTTGGCTGTGTCTCTTTTTGGGGTGAACATTTTCCACAGCAAGGAGTGAGGGGTGCCAACCAAGGTGGAGTGGCGAGTGAAGTAAACCTGGCCACCCACATTTAGCTCCACAACCTCCGGGAAGGATTGCAGCCCAGAGCCCTGCTCCCGGGCAGGGAGGTAAGTCCTGCAGTTGCCACTTAGTGCCATTGTACTTTAAGAAAGAAAACAGCAGCACGGAGCAGGAGGATGGTCAGTCACATCAAAGTCTAGAATAAGGCTCCCAGTACTAAGGAGAAATGAGGGGGAAGGGGAAGTGAGGAAAGAGAAAAAAAAACCCAAAAGGTATGCCCAAAAAAATATTTGAATTGTCCATAAGTAATGGTGTGGTAGAAGTGTCTTATATCCTAAGCCATTGGGGCTGGAGAGAAATCCCTTCATGAAACACAATCACATCATCAGATCTTCCAGCAAAGCCATCAAAATCAAGGTCAAGCCCAGCCTATGGTAATTCACTGGTCTTCTAAAAGGGAAAACAAAATAAGATTCAAATTAACCTCTTAAGCATGCCAGCAATTGCAATAGAGAAAAACAACTCATTCGAGGAAGCTGGTAGCCTTCCTGCTAAATATATCTAATTTTTCCAAGTTCCCCTTCTCTTTCAGAAATACTAATCAATGGAAAGACTCGGAGTGATCCTGCAGTTTAAAGAATACGCACAGTTTGTCTTCAAACAAACATCTAATTTAAACATGCAGATGAGACAGTGAGAACATCAGCTCTTACCTTGGTTACAAATAATGCATAGCTCTTGTAAAGGAAAGCAAGATTTCAAGACACTCAGAGCACACATACAGGCACATAGAGTCCAGATAGTATCGGATCCGATCCCAGCAAGGGACAGCAAAGGCAAGAAAAGTGCTCTTAACAACATTCACGTAGATCTCGAGAGTTAAACCGAGTCACGAAAAAAGTTAACCGTGGCAGGTGATGAGAAAACAACACACACAGCACGAAGGGGGAGAGGGGGGGAAAAAAAGCACAAAAATCCCAAATAAATCCGATCGGGTTCCTTGAGAGCGGGGCCAAGGGAGAGCGGGGAACGCGCTGCGGGGGACGCTGCCTCAGATGACTTGCAGAAACCCCGCAGCCCGCGCTAAGGGCTGAGACGCTCCGGCGACTCCCGCGGCCGCCCGGGAAGCGCGGAACGCGGCTCTCCCACGTCCGCCCGCCGCGCTCCGCCCCGCCGCTCCGCTCGGATCCGCTCCGCTCAGCGGCGCGGGGACGGGAGCGCAGAGGGCGACGCCGATTGCATCATCCTAAAGGAGCCGGGACCGGAGACGGCGCCGGGAGCCCGGGCGGCGCCGGCACCGCGGACAGCGGCGGGCCGCGCTCCGCCGAGCGGGTTGGCCGCCCCCGGGGCGCCGCCGCCGCGGCCCTGCGAGCCCGAGTTCGGGTAAAGTTCCTCTCGCTCCGCTCTCGTCGGCGGCTCCGGGCGGCGGCTCCCGGCCCCTGCCCGCCCGCCGACACGTGCCCGTCCGCGGCTCCGCGCAGGCGAGGCGGTGATTTCACCCAGCGACGCAGGCGGGCAGGGTGGGAGCAGCCGGTGGGTGGGCGCTCCCGGCACGTTCGCCCGAGGCTCTCCGGCAGGAGCGCGGTTTTATCGCGCTGCTCGCGCTCCTCATCTCCCCAGCAGTGACCCAGAAAGGGCAGAAACCAGCAACGATGCGCCGTGCGATTACCGCGGGGACGGCAGGGAGGAGGTGGGGCGGTTTGGCAGGAGCGCTGCAGGACTGGCTTCGTTTGTCGGACTGTGATGGGGAGGGGGCAGGACGGGGGCAGGGGCTGTAGCCGCGCCCCGCGCTCCTGGCGGCCGTGGCCGTGCTGGCACCGCCATCTCGCGTCCAGCCCCGGCCCTGCTCCCTGCTCTTCCCGGCCGCTGTTACCAGAGCAAAAGCTGCGGGAAAGGCGAGCTGAAAAACGTCGGGAAAATGGGCTTTCGGAGCAGCGGGCTGCTGCTGCCGAGTGTGCGCTGCGGCCGCAAATCGAGCACCCTGGGATCTCCTCAGCGGGAACTATTCGACTCGGGTTAAATAAACACGGTACGCGGCATAAGATGAAAGGAAGTGACCGGGCTGCTCAGCTGGCTCACAAAAACGGCACCACAACGTGCAGTCACCGATGATTTCACAGATAATTACACAGTGGTATCAGAAAAGTTCAGTGTATTTTAGCAGACATCAATTCTCGTTAAAATGGGGATGCTCAGAATGACGAACATGTGATAAAGAGCCCTGCATTCAAACGGCAAAGAAAAACCAACGGGGAAGTTTTAGAATGAAATCTTTGTGCACGGAAGTTACCGAGCTGTCAGTTTCTGCTGGCTGCACTGAAGCTGCAGATACTTCAGGAGGAGCGAAGGAAGGGAGGGACGGAGGACACTGACTTAAACGGTGCAGTCCTGTAGCCCGAGGGAGGAGAGCACTGATCTGTGTACTTACAGCTTCTCAATTTCAAGCCCAAGAGTTAAATAGCATATCAAACTCTTGCTTTTGACCTTAATCGATTCATTTTTTCAGAAGCAGCTGTGACCATTTCTTTCTAAGTCCATTTCTTACTGCTGGACTGACCTTTAATTTGCAAACCAGCAGAACAGGGGACTGCAGCAGGGGCTGTACATTGTATCTCAGAAAACAACAAAGTTTTGTGCATCTTCACATGCTGTTCCCACGCACCAGCTGAAGAAGAACTTGTCCGTGCTGCCAAGAAGTTTAGAATGAGGATTTTAAAGGGTTGGTGTGAGGACACGTTAACTTAGATGCCTTCATCACATGTCTAGGTCTGGTAGAGTCAAAGCATACAGGCTTTAACTTCTCCATGACCAGACAGATGAAATGATAGGCTTCCTTTAGGATTTATACTCGTTAGTGCTGCCTTGGTTGACAGAAAGGAGTATTCTATCAGCTTTTTCAAATACTTTATTTATTAATAATAACTATTAACTTAATTAATAATATCTAAATCAATTTTCATGAAGCCAGTGCTGTCCTACTGGCAAGGCTTGGAGAATCAGTTCACTGTGCCCAGTAAATCGATCCTGTCCAAGCAAACACTGAAGTCATTTGTGGTCATACGGCATGATTAAGATCTGAGACCCCAAGGGAGGCTGATAGGATCCCCTGGGCAGAAGTCCTGAGGGCAGAGTGGAAACAAGGCAGGCTGGATGTGCAGGCAACAGCACGGGGATGAGTCTAATAAAGAGCTGTGATTCCTGATGAGGTGCTGTGAAGTATTCTGGCATCAATACTGTGTGATTAGTGAATACAGACGTATTTAAACTCCCAGGCTTTTTGAAAAATTATAATCAGAATTGTCCTTTAAACAGAACAAAAACCTCAGAATTTTAATCACAACAGCTTTAGAAAAGCATCTGCACTTTTCAAATAATAAATGAAAGGAATTCAACTCCTACCTTTATTTCTTTACACAGGACGTTCCAATCATTTCACTGTAATACAATTCCCTTTGATGCAGTGATTTCAATTGCAGAAGCATCACGCGACGCTGCCTTGCTAAATAGAAGGCAGTGGCCAGATCCATCCAAACGCTGCCTGAGACAGGAGAAACTTGAAAACCTGGGCCAAACACACCAGTGACCTCAATGCAAAATGTGTGTCAGCACCACTAAGGACCTTCCTATTCAGCTGCGAGACTAAAGCAGCTCATCTCCAGTGCAGTTATAGTTCTGAGACGGAAAAGAAAAGCGGCATCTATCAGAAGGAAGAGGATGAAGCTTGCCCCACTTTTAGAGGTGCCTGTGTAACCTTCAATTTAGCTGGGGAAAATTTAGTCCAAGCTTAAAGTGCATGTTCCAAAGGTCACAGCAGAGCTGTGCTGAAACCCAGCACACCAGTGATATGACATCGTTCACAGGTTTGAGGCCCTTCCAGTGCTATGTTAGCACTGCAGCTTTCACTATGCACGGGACTTCTGACTTCATCAAACTTCGTGGCTGCTCAAATAGGGTCAGCGTGTTTAAAGAAGCAGCAATGAATGTTAGGAAGGGCAGCACTCAGTTTGGTCTCTAGTAGCAGTGGTACGTTCACATCTCACCTTCCATTTCACAGCGCAAAAGCACAAGCTGTAAATACCAATCAGGCCACCCACGCATAATGAGAAATGTAGGAGCTGTTTATCAGCATTTAGCTGCACCACGCTGAACTTCGAGGCACCCAGGGATACAGCAATAATTTCTAGTGGAAATTGAAGGAGTTATTCTGAGGAGAAAGAAACATTGAAGTTCCAGACTGATGCTCTGCTTTGGAAATCACTTGGCAGTGCCACCCAAGGAGCCCTCAGCCACATGTTCTGTCACTGCCAGTGCTCCTCAGCAGCCTCCTGTCTAAATACCAAGCCAAAGCAGCACTCCACCAGGGCAAGGCTCAGAGAAACCACAGAAAAGAGTGCAGTTGCTGAGGAGAGTGGCGTGACAAAGAGGAGCAGAAATGTATGTCCTCAGCAGGTGCTTTAGGCTTACCGTCAGAGCACTGTGAAAGGACACTGGTTGCAGAGAGAACCACCACCAGATCCTGCAGGCAGCTGGCAGCACTTCCAGTCCGATCTCAATCCATAGCTACAGACATTAACCACGTCCTGGTAGGAACTCAGCTGTAGCAGAGACCTTTAACCTACATGCTTTCATGAAAGGTTTCTCACACTTCTAGAGTAGAGCAGTCTTCACACCCCTCAGGCAGCTTGAGTTCCCTAGAACTGAGGCAGGCAAGAAAAAGAATAATAGTGAGATAAAATAACTCATCCACCGACCCAGCAATGCGACTTACACACAGCGCAGATCTCATCTGCTGAAATCCAGCAGTTGGTGTGAAGTCATAACAGATCTTTCACTTTGCAGAATAAGCAGAAACACTAAATGATAGAATCTCCCCAGAAAGAGGTCTGCTAGCAAAAGAATGAGTGCCATAAAGTAGGGTTTATCACAAAGAACATGGTAAAACATTATACAGCTTTGCCCTTGATCTTTTATTTATTACTCAAGTGCGTAATGCATTTTCAACAAAAAAGGCAGAGGAAGAACAGCTTTCATGGTTGCACAATGTGTGAGAATGGGCAAGCTTAAGCAAGTGTAAGCAAGGCAGAGAATTCAAACAGAAAGCAAGAGAAAACAATTTTTTTCCCTTATCATATAAGACACAGAACACAGCTGCAGCAAAGAAAACAGTTTGCACCTTTTATAAGACACCAAATCCAAAGCAAACTCACTGTACAAGGTGCTATATTTTCAAAGGTGGAGCATTTCAAATCTGCTGGTAAACTTCATCATTAGTGGATCTTCTCTGAGTGTCTTACAGGCAAAAACTTGTGAACTATGAGGCATGCACTGGCAGAAACTGATGCATCTCCTTAACTGTCCTGAAGCTTCCCGTTCATGCAGCTCCTCACAAAATCATTTTTATTTTGCTTTACCAGAAAATGAAGGGTTCTCTCATCTGCATAGCTCCAGAGAGAATATGTTGGTGGAAAAGATGATGACAACCTTCACCCTGTTCCCATCAGCACTGCCTAGCATGATGCACTTTCCAAGTCATGCAAGTAGGAAATGGTTGACTAAGTGCAATGTCTTGCCTTCTCTTGGACCCTCAGGCCTGGACCAGACTGCACTCTGATATAGATGAGGACAAATTTGTCCTGCAAAGCTGAAGCTGACAACTAATACCCTAAAAATATGTTGAGAAGCTCAGTGCAAACACAGAGAGATAATTAATGAAAGCTCAAACCTAAGCTGGGAGTAAATTCTAATAATCTAAGCAAATCCAAATAGATTTCTAGCCAAAGAGCATTTCACCAGCAAATCACAATTAAACAGCCCACTGCTTGGGATTTGGGTCTCATTTCACTGTCTAGTGAACTGCAACAAAGTCACACAGTTCAGCAAAGTGGCACTAAGCCATCAGCATCAGATGCAGCCTGCACACTCTACAGGTCTTCCATGAAAGCTTGGATCTCCTCAGACTTCAAACACTAATTTACCTAAAGTATAAATCTGTGGGAAGCAGCTTATACCACAGTCACTGATCTCTGCGTTATGTGTGACTATAATTCCCCCATCATTATTTCATTCAGTTCTACAGACATGCATGTTTTCTGTGAGGCTG